TTTCAACAAAAACTCAAGCTAACAGGCACATACAAAACACTCTGTAGCTTCAAAAAATGCATGTTCCTGCTTGGTGAGCCCACATAAATGTTTACACTGGGGCCAGTCTCTGGCACTAAATTAGAGTTAACATACTGTTGATTTTTCCTAGACTTATGTATAGAAATAACTGTTTGCTTTTGCATAGAAGCTGTTTCCTAAGGGGCTAGAACTAGATACTGAGGTCTGACTGCGACCTGACCAGAGCCACTACAGACACTGGAATAAATATCAGAATAAAACATACTGCTGTTGTGAATCAGAATTTGAATCAGGTCAGGAAGTCTGATAACCCAGCTGCACTTAGCACTACCTTATGGTCTAACTCTCACATACAGCTCCTCATCCTCAAACACTGTACACAGTTCTTGAAGTTGTAGTAGCTAAATCTTCTTAGTTCCTCTGAACGCAGCTTCATCCTCGCTGGTAAAATGTGGGAGATATGTTACCTCCCATAAAATTAATATAAAGATCATTCCTGATTCCTAGTTCTACTGTGAGAGTATTTGTACCCAGTTAATTAAGCTGGATATGCACTATCCCAAATCTCAGTCACTATCACCTTTTCTCAATGTGAAGTAAAGTTCAGTGTGACACTGAAAACACTGAGCCTGCAGTTATTCAGGGCACATACCTTTGGCATCTCTCAGAAAATATACAGTAAAATTTGATACAAACTCTTTGGGAATTTCATCAAGAGCCACATGGAAACACACTTTGTCAACTTGCTGTTCCTGTAGCTTAAACAGAAAATAAAAAGGAAGTATGAGTAGTATAACGATTACTGCTTGCTGCCACGTTTCTTAACAGAAAGAAAATGTTGCATGCTGTCAGCAATAAGACAGAATCATTAGTTTAGCTCCACTATCTTCACATTTGTGCCCAAGTAAACTCCTAACATAAATGAAATGTTAGAAAAATCACTCAGCTAACAGTAAGTCATCAGCTTTGGAAACAAGTGTTAATTTCCAGACCAACAGGACTAAGAAGAGCATTAGAGCTTGAAACAGAAGAAACCAGAAAGCACTTAAATGCCTGCTTCCCCCCGCCCCCGTGCCTTTCTGAAACTGTGCAAGCATGTACTCCCCTTCCACCTGCATCTCAGTCAGAAACCGACTCTAGTTAGAAACCACAGACTCCATCCTGACCATCCAATTAGGTAGAACACTTGGGGTACAAAAGCCTCTCCTCACTGTTCCTGACATGCTTCTCTCATGGTGTCTTTATCCAGTGACTATTTTAATTGCAACTATTCTTTTGCAAGCAACTCTGGGAATAGTTAATGCCTGAGTAACTCTCTGCTGCATTTCCTCACCAAAAGTCAATGTTTTGCCAAGAAAATTATCTTTGCAGTGTTTTTTCAGTCAATGGCAGAGGCTGTGGCAGATACCACAGGGCATCGCTTTTGAATGGAAATTCCCGTTCTCATAAAATGTTCTGTTCTGCTCTGAGTACTTGCTCTACACTGTACCTCCTTAATTTGCCTACCAGTTTTACTGAAACAGTTACATCAGAAAGCCAGCATCTTCATATCCACAACAGAACAGAGTGAAATACAACACTTACCTGAGGTGTGTGTTCCATATTGTCAGTTGTAGATATTTGCTCCAGTTTACCCAATTCAGACTGACTAGAGAGAGCTGATACGTGACCTGACACACTTTCATTGTCTGTAGGCTGTAGAGGGGATGCCTTGCTTTTTTGAGTCATACCTAAGAAAGAATAACACAAGAGAATTCAATTAAAAAACAGGTATTCTGTGCATAAAAGATGGATCCTTCCAATTTTTTTCTCAAAATAAATGACTGAGCATTTTCTTCCATCTTCAGCATCACCTTTCAACAATGGGCGATCAAACCCTGGTGTTAATTGTACATTTTCCCATAGGACAGCACTATTGCTGAAGAACTGAATCCAAATATGCAAGTGACTATACTGCATTCCACAAGTAACTGGGCTTTATTTAGAATATCCTTACCAGCATTTTCCAACCCAATTGGTCTTTTATGACAAAATAAGTAGATTAACACATTTCAAGGTTAAAACACTTTGTAAAAGGAAATGCAAACAATCAGGGTTTCATTGTGCCAGATCTACGATGTGGAAAATGTTTATAATTATGTCGTGCCCACTGAGATGATGGTGAAAACACCGTAATACAGGAACAACTGCATGAATTCCAGTGCCAGTCAAGAATTTCAAACTTTATTTTATACTGTCTTTCAGAAGGTACACCATGTCTTCTTCCCCTTTCAGCACAGGCTTCTAGACACTTAAAAGGTGCAAAAAGGTATGGCTGCATCCCCAACTGGATCCTTTGTGTGCTGATATTATTATCAAGCAATAAATAATTTTCTCTGTCTTACTGCTTTTGAGCATTAACCTGCAGCACTGCAGCTGCCTCCATTCAAAAGTGCAGAGTGGGAAGTTGAATTGTATCATTCCTTTAGTCTACTTACACCCACACCATGCTTCAGCACTTAACTTTCATGGTTCTATCCTTTTTTGCACAGTATGAATAAAATTTTTTTTACGGATATAAAATACCAGGCCATGACTCTTTGCTTCTGCAAGTAACTGTTTCAGAAGCATGTGGGAGTTACATAGATACTGACAGCACAGAAGAGAATTGAATCTCTGAGCCATAGAAAATCATTGCTCCCTTCTGACACCCTTTTTATCACTTTTCCTTCATTTTTTTCCAATTTTTTTTGTGAAAGGCTTCTCTGCCTGCAGTTAAAGTACTAGACCTATCTTAACTCTTTACAGGACCGCTTTTATTCTCAATAAACTACATCAGAAGAAAGCAAAGAGCTTGCAACTCTTAGGACAAGGGGAATGAATTAATTCCTACTAAAGGGAACTCATTTCATTTATTATAATAAAATTAATCTCTAACAATCTGAAATTACAAGGCCAGTAAAAGATGTCTTAGACAAAGACTGGATGCTTCCATCCACTGCATCCAGTGTCCTTGTGGGTTGATTTTGTTCATCCCAGTCAGCCTTTCTCTAGATAGGTTTCTCTCAAGCAAACAACCTGCGGCAGAAGGTCCTCAGAAAATGTTACTTAGCCACACTGCCCAGGACACCATCCACAAAAATCAGATCATCTTTCATGGGAAAAGAAGCTGTTGATTATACAGCTGGATCTGCTCACGAGAGCCATCTTAGCTAGTCACGTTTAGCCCCCACAGCAGTACAGCCTGCAACAATTACACTTTGGCCACTCAAACCACCTACTTCCTTCCAACGCCACAGAGGAGGCTGTTTCAGTCAACTGCTCAGGAAAGTGGTCATCTGCGCCTTCCTCTGGTGGCTCCTCTGCAAACTCTTCTGTGTCAGCTGTGCCTGCACACACACAAAATGGCAGGAAAGCACGATGGAACCACTCTGCAGTGGGGATGGCACAAACCCCACCGAGGCACAACCAGAGAGAAGAAAGGGCCTAGAAATGGGTGGGATAAAAGGGAGGATTGGACACTGCCCTAGGGATAGAAAGGCAGGGAAAACGGTAAGGTAATAGAGGTGGGACAAACTGGGGGGCTTGAGGGAGGGGGAAACAGGGAGTTAGAGAGGGAAGGACGGAGTGAAGGGGCTTGCAGTCAGGCAGTGCCCAGGGGAGGGCTGTGCGGGCCGGGGCCTCACCCGCTGCCTCCTCGCCGTCCTGGCGGCGCCACTCGGCCCGCACCAGCAGCAGCGTCGCGCCCGCCTCCCCCTCATCGTCCCCCTCCTCTGTGCCACGGTCAAAAAAGCGCAGCACAGCCCGTCCCTCCTCGCCGTCGCCGCGGTTCAGCAGCTCCTCGAAAGGCGCCGGATCGGTCAGTCCCAGGGCGGCGAGCGCTCGGTCCCGCAGCCACTGTACCCGCACATCGTCCAGGATCATGGCGGCGACCCCCGGGGCCCGACAGACGCCTCCCGGTGGCCACGGCAACGGCCCGGGGCGGAGCGATGGCCACCGCCCGCCCAACGCCCTCCTGAGGGGACCGCCTCGCGCCCAACGCCCGCCTCGCGCTTCCCGCCCTCCCCCTCAGGGGCGTTCCGTTACCTCAGGCCGGGGGGAGCGCGGGGAGCGGGAAGGGCGGCCCGGCCGGAGGGGTGCAGACCCACCCGCCTCAGTGCTGCCAGGGGGAGGGAAAGGGCAAGTACAAACATAAGGGCCCGCTCTGAACTGCACAAACGAGGTTTTTTTTTTATTAGTCATTTGTATTAAACGAGAGCAAAATTTAACTTAGGCAGTTCATATGGCACAGGTGTTAAAACATCGTGGTGATATCCCCCTTTTCACACCGATACAAAAAATAATACAAAACGACCTCCTTTCTGCCTATTTGGTGTAAACTTTGGTTCAACATCAGGTAAGTAACATGGTGCATGTGTCCTTACAGCAGAACTTAAACACAGCTGGAGGCCAATCATTCATTCCCCATGCAAAAATTACTGGAAGAGACCATCCTGTAAAAATGGAACCTGGGATAAAAACTTATAGCAGGGAGTTTGGTTTGCATTTATTTGTGTCCTCACCCAGGCAGGACAAGGCTTTTTCCAAGGCTTTCACCCACCAGGGTCAGGGCCCGTGAAGGGCTGCACACAGCAGTGTTCCAGAAGGGATCAGAAAACACCCCAGGGAAATAAGCGGGTTAAAACTTCCCCTTTCCACCTCTAATCCTGCCTTCTTCCATCATATTAAATACCACTGTGGCTTCTGAAAGGTTAAAGAAATAACTGAGCAGAATTCAGAATAATTAACACTTTCGGTGCATGTAAAAATTTACATTTCATAATCCTTTTGGAAGAGATACTGAAAACACACATGGCTTCTTGTTGCATTGCTGGATTGTTCCCAAGGTGGAAGAGATGGTAGCTTAAGTATGCAAATAGTAACGAATATTTAATAAGATACTTAAAAGTAATCATTCAAGAAAATAAACAGCCTCAACAAAAAAAACACGCCTACACTGGTTTTAGGACAAGCAGTAACAACTTTTTTTTTTAAGAATAAAATTAATTTACAACATTAGTTTATCAAGAAAAATGTACATTTTATATCTATATACTTTACAAGATGCTCCAGATCTGCTATGTATTTCTATGGGAGGTATATGTTACAGAATTATTTGGCTGCATTATAAGGCAATCAGTGAAGAACACTTTGTCCTACAAGAAACCATTCATAGGTGAGATCCAATCACATGATTATTTGCAGACAATTCCAAATATTTCCTCTGACAGCAACCAAACTATGCCGTATCATCTTTATTAAAATGTAAAGAAATGTGCTTAAAAGAGAAAGGCGTAAACTTGTATCCTCCACCAGAGTAGAATTTGTTCTGAAATTCCACCCTGAAACGAGACAGAAGAAAAACAAAAACAAAACAGAATCTGTAAATTAATCCAAAGTGACCGGTTGTCAAGGGATAGAACTGTGAAACGCAAGAGGCTGAACAAAACCAACCCTAATCCTGTTACTTTCACTTTCTGTGCACACATTTAACTTTCCTGTCACAGACCCAGGGGAATGTTTCTCAGACACCCAAACACACCGACATTGAGCTCTAATGGCTCATTTCTCACTTCTTACTCTCATTTGTTTTTGAGTTAGTTGCAGATAATTGTTTTGCAAATATACAGTATCATGAGGACAATACTCTGTAATGCACACAACTCTGCCTCGTGTTTTTTATACTATATGTCTGCCTTTTCTTACACTGTAAATTTCATCAGGTTTCAAAGTAAACATTCTCTGAATCCGCTTCAACATGCAGAGCTCATGATATCAAGAAAGGATTAAAATACTTGAAGGCTAGCAACCCCGCTCTAGCAAAAGTCTTCTCACTAATATAAATTAGTTCTGAAGTGATTCAGTGATGTAATCAGACTTAAATTAAAAATACTTACCCACATTACTAATATTCTATAGTATGAAAACACCAGAATACTATAAATCAAACATATTCATAGTTTGCACCAAAATAAACTCTGAATGTGGCAGAGGTTAATAGGCATCAGAAGCCAATATAATATTTGAATTTACTGAAAAATTCCATACACATAATCATATTCAACTGACAAGCCATTTATTTAATATGATTAAATAAATCATATTAAATATGATAAAAAATATGATCAAATAAAGCCATTTATTTAATATGATAAATAAATCTATTGAAGTAGCATAGGTTATAGAATTTTACACTTTTCTTTTTATTAAGGGACCTAATATTCTGACACAAAAATTCTTCTTAAACAAGCCAGTATACATTAAAGTGGTGTAAAGAAAAAATGAACTTACCAGTGAAGTCGTATAGCATGGAGAAAAGCAGAAAGCCCCTCCATGACCAAAAGAATAAAAACCGTTAGCACAGCAAAAAAGGCTAGAACAGGGACTAGCAGTAAGACACCGTATGTTGTATCCACACGAAGACCCACTCTCATCACCATTTGCCACAGAACTTCTGATAACTCTATTAAAGAAAAGTTTTCATAGTTACTGTTGATACTGCACACATTCACCCAGTGAGCTGCTCTGACTGACCTGTATTCCAGTTTAAACAGTACTACGGGATCTGCTGAACATGGCAACCCCCTGCCCCAGTTACTTGCCCCCTTCCCTCCCCCAAAACACTTGAAGACAATCTCAGCTTCAAAATAATATCTAATGATGGCAACATTTTACACCATGACACCATTAGCAAGATGATTTCATAGCAGTATCACTTCAAAAGGCCAGCACCCCTCTAACCAGCATAAAAAAAAAAAATCCAGACATGAAAAAAAATAACCAATATCCCCCCACACTTACGTGCATGAGCAAGACTTAATGCCCAGAGTCTCAGATAGGAGGCCGTATTAGAAATACATCCTAAACAGTATTCAATGGTATGAATTGCTTGATTCATAAAGACATCTGCAAAGTTAAGCTAAAATATAAAAATACATTAGGAAAGAACAAAAACATTCATCTGCAAACCTTAATATAGTTAGAAGAAAAATTCCATAAAAGGGCAATATGTTGATTTCATATCAAGTAAAAAAAAAATAAAAAATCTGCTGTGCTTAAGATTCTTATTAGAGAGACAACATTAAAAAAATAAACAACAGATGCTATGGTTTTCCAGTTAGTTTCCTCAGTTACTTTGTTGATAGACAGAAGTCAAAGCAATTTATGTTTTCCACAAGGAATATGATTTAATACTTGAAAACTCTAAGTAGTAAAACCAGTCATGGTTCTAATTCCTATTCCATTGATGTCGTAAGTTTACAATGTCAATTTTTACCATCTTTAAACCCAAGATTAATTATTAGTAATGCTAGTGATTAACTATGTTCATACTGTAAACTCTAAATCTACCTGTTGCTAAAACTATGTTCATACTGTAAACTCTAAATCTACATACCTGTTGCTAACAAAGAGTTCCAAGACTAATATTACTACAAGTTTCAACATTTACTTTGCATGGAATTATGACACATTTAAGCAAACAATTCTTGCATTTTCTATCCATAAGAAGCAAGTGAAGCAAGTACTATACATAGTCTGCATATTGGGAAACTGAAGCAATCTTTTGTCTTTCAATTCACATGAAATCAGTAGAATCAGTCAAGACCTTTAAAGATTTGGCAGCAATAGCTGAGGACTATGAACACAGCTCATGTCTCCTAACCCCCATTAGCAATAATCCTCATCACAAGATGAGGCAGGCATGAAAAGACTTTTGTCTGGATGAAAAGCCAAGATTAATTAACAGGAAGCTGGGCGGGTTGTCCTCTTGCCTTAATTTTAAGAATCCATAAAACCATACAAAACCCAAGCTTTTTATCCCATTCTTCCATTTAAGAAAAACTATAGTCTTAGATGCAAATAAAGCACTCTTCCTGTTCTCCACTTCAGAGAGATCGTGGTTTATGTAGCAATTTGAATATACCAAGAAATAAAGATAAAATAGCAACAAATAAAAATAAGTACATTGGATTCAGGCATCAAGATCTTTGTAAAGGCTCAACCAATTTTCTTGAAAATTTCCAGGAACTCAGTGTGCAGGTTAGTCTTCTTGATTTTCCACTTCTAATTTGCTTTTAAGGACATACAAACTAGAACTTAAGTAAAAACATTACCTCCTCTGCATCCCCTTCTCTGTGCCCACTGTCCAAATGACTGGTTCCTTCTTCCACATCATGAGATCTCAGCAGAGAAAGTTCTTCTTCACTTTCTTTTCGAATTAGCTTGTAGCCACTCTGCAAAACAGAAACGCGTCGTGTCTCTGTTAAGAGGACTGATGGTGTCATTTAAAAAAAATTATTTAAAGTAGTCACAAGCAAAGGCAAAAAGAGACCTAGAGAAACAAAGCACTATTGTGTGCTACAGTCAAAAACTTTCCAAGTGGAGTAGAAATAGTAAGAAAAAAAAAAGTAAGTGCTAGTAAGGACATTACTATCTATGCAACACAACAGCAGCTGAATTCTTCTATACTGAAGAAATGTGTAAGTGTCTCAGTACTCACCCTGTACATCCTAATGCCTCGGCCTCCACTGTGCAACCAATATAAATAAAGTGGTTTACCAAAAAGCATTACAGGAACAGAAAGAAAAGCAATGCTAAGTAAAAACCTCTGTAGAGTAACCTGTTAGGGAGGGTAAGAAAGAAAATTAGATTAGATCACAAAATCCAAAGCAGGAAAAGCTTTCCCATTTTTCTCTAAAGGCCTGTTTAAGCATAAGAGAAGCGCTACAGATCTCAGTGGGGGTGTACTTCAAATTGAACGTACACATTTCACTTAATCAGGCCCTTAAACTGGGTTACAGACATCCAGCATGGTCATGACTGGGTTCTAGATTAGGCATTACTGATAATTCGGTTTTGTAAGATTATTTACAGCACATACAAAAGCATCAAAATTACAAGCATGAGACTGTTGTTTAGCTTTAACTTTAACCTGGGAGATTTTGTTCTAGAATCAGGTATTTTCACAAGTCACTACGTAAAATCGTACAACCAGTTAAAGAGTAAATATATTATTTAATCATAACGTTTATTCAATTTCCCCTTAGTCTGATACATTCCCTATCCTAGAGGGACACTCAGCCATCAGCATTTCATGACTGGTGTTACCTGCATAGGGAACAACAGGATCTTCAGGAGCTTGTAAGAACACTACTGACCTGTCCGGTGTAGAAGACCTCGGTATCACCTCCAAAAAAGAGGAACATGTTAATAAACTGGATCATAATACTAGGAGCAGATGTAGAGTCCTCTGCAGAGTATGCTAGCCATTTAAAGAAGATCAGAAACACAAGGTAGCCAAAGATGCACATCATGAATAAAAGTTCAGGAAGAAAAACCAAATAAATATTATACTTCTTCTTGAAATGCCTGCAAGATAAAAATGGGGGGAAAAAATGAAAAATATGTTTTACAAAGAAAAATCAACATAAATACATGGCCCAAACATAATTTCAATAAAACATAACAATAATCAGCACTTCTAAACGGCAAGACTGAAATTACATTCCAGAACCAATTTCTTCATATTCAGGGAAATTTTAACCAGTTTTGCCAGTGGAAACCAAGACCGCAAGAGACACGTATCTCTATTTAGCAACAAGTGAAATAAAATCTTGTATTAATCAATGTCTGCAGAATTTTTGGCATAACACTGACCCATCTTCCCTTACTGCCTTTTTTTAAGAACAGTTTTCACAGTTATTATTATCCTGTAGTTAAAAAATTGTTTCAGTTTCTCTTACCAGATTAACTTATAATTCAAGACTTGACAAAAACTATAATATTATCTTAACTATATGTATATTATCTTAACTTCTTGTACTTACAAGTGGTTAAATACCCCCAATACAACTCCAAACATCATGTGAGTCACGCCAAAAATCACAGACATTTTCATTTTAAAAGAATTTAAAAAACTGAGACGGTTGCTTGCCAAGTTCCATATCTGAAGAAGAGAAGACAAACCCAGCGTTAAAGAACAGCGTAACAGAAAGAACAAAACAACATCATTTCTCTATTGGAGACCAGAATTCTACCTTAAACGGGGATCACAACTGAAATTTGAGTTTTGTGAAAACAGTTAAATCTTTCTTTGGCTTTTTAAAGGTCTTTTTGAATGGAGAATGCAAGCAGAAACGTGGGGTTTTTTTCTATAAAAAGATTTATTTTCTTAACTGTCATGGTTTCAGTTGGGGTAGAGTTAAGTTTTTTACTAGCAGCTGGTGTAGTGCTATGGTTAGGATGTAAAGCTGGGAGAAGGAAGTGGGAGACTTTCAGAGTGATGGGGTTTGTCTTCCAAAGTAACCATTACACATGACACAACCCTGCTTTCCTCTACCTATTAAAACTCTCTGTATCTCAACTCACGAGGTTTTTTTCCCACTTTGACTTTTCTGATTCTCTCCCCATCCAAACTAGGGGGTGGGGGGTGTGAGCGAGCAGCTGCGTGGTTCTACTGGCCTGCTGGGGTTAAACCACAACACTAACACATACCAAATTCTAATTTACAAATGGCTGATCATCACCAATGGGTAATTTAAAAGAATAAAACTAACCGGATCAATTCCAAAGGGATAAGCTCCATTGTATACACCAGTAACATTTGGATCCAGTGTTAAAAATTGGTTTGACTTCAGATCATCAAGACTGCAGAGAAAGAAAAACACACTCAGATCTGTCATTGTTTAAACATAGTGACAACATATACTTTCAGTTCTGCAGGACACTGCTCCTGCTCTCCTTCCTATGACTATCGCTAACCCACTGCCAGATTTTAAAAGAATACAAGGATTTCTAAGCACAAAGGGCCTGACTAATAAAAACAACAGAAAAAAAAAATCTCTAGAAACTCATAATCTGGGCTTAATTCACATGAACTGTCTGTGAAAGAAAAGTTTCTGGATTTTATTCCTCATTCCCCTAGAATGGAAAGTTTCATTTTAAAAGCTCACAATTTGCTTTTATATATAAAATTCACTAACAAATGCCCAAAGAATAATAAATATCTCTTTTCCCTTTCTGAATTTGGATGAGTTTCCACTCTAACTTCATATAGTTTTAATTAACACAGTATTCACAACCTGCGCACACTTTAACCAAAGTCAGTGGTTTTGACTCTACTATTTCAAGCCACTTCTCATTTTGCCTCAAAAACAGGATGCAAGCTCTGAACACTTAAATATCAAAGGGTCATGACACCTCAAAACAATGAGGTTACCCCACTTTGTGAAGAAGTAGGTTTGACAATTCACATAACCTACTTTTTTTCTTTTTTTAACTATCAAGAAAAGCTGTGCAAAGACTAATGACTGTTAGGTAATTAATTTATTTCATTATTTGTTAATTTTTTTTACAGTAGATGCTAATGCTGCTTGGCTATTCATTCCAGAGACATGACCTAGGACAAATTTCTCCAGAACTAGCCCTGTGTTTTCTATTTCCCTCAAAGCCTGATATACATATTCAGAAACCTCTCCTGGAAAATACAGTAATTGGAGGCAAATTAAAACCATCAGCATAAAGACAAACCACAACAAAGGAGGCAGTGTGCTTTTAATGAATAAAAAGAATACAAGTCTTAGTGCCTTCTGTTAGGATTTTACAATACTACTGAAACTCCAGCCATTCATAAGAACACTTTTGAGAGACCACAAAAAAAGATGCAAAACATATCCAAGAAGGTTTAGGGATGGAATAAACCCTAGAAATGTCACTTCATGTAATTAGGTGGAAGCTCTTACCACCAATAAAAAGATACTATGCCAGCTGCAGTTTTTAATGACTAAAGGCTCTCAGTTAACATATAGTGTTAGGGTACAGCAACAGAATTTGTTCCAGGAGAAGACTGATTGTCATCTGTACCAAAAGATAATATTCTAGGAGACATTCCAGGTGTTTGAGGACATGTCAGTCCAGTAAAGCAGCACCGATAAATACGAGATTAACTTGATAGATTGACTGAGTTAAATATAATAAAATTCTAATAGTAGTTTTGTATGAAATTGTGTTCTCTGTGGATTTAAGATAATAAGCAATTTGATTTTTTTGTTTTTAAATAACTATTACTGCCTTTTTTATTTTAAGAGTAGTTGTATCTCTTTGCCCTTAGCACACTAGCACTTACTGCCATACAATTAGATTTAACAACTGCCTGAACAACCTAGTGGCCTTCTATGATAGAATGACTACATCAGAGAACAAAGGATGTTGTCTACCTGGACTTCTGTAAGGCCTTTGACAAGATCCCCCACAACATCCTTCTCTCTAAACTGCAGAGATACAGACTTGATGAGTGGACTGTTCAGTGGATGAGGAATTGGTGGGATGGTTGCATCCAGAGGGTACTGGTCAACACTTTAATGTCCAGATGGAGATTGGTGACAAGTGCTGTCCCTCAGGGGTCCATACTGGGACCAGTACTGTTCAGTAGCTTCATCAGTGACAGGGACAGTGGGATCAAGTGCACCCTCAACAAGTTTGTGGAAGCTGAATGGTGCAGTTGACACACCTGAGAGACGGGATACCATCCAGAGGGACCGTCCCCGTGGCAGCGGGGTTAGACTAGATGACATTTAAGGGTCCCTTCCAACACAAACTATTCTCTGATTTTGCTAATTTCACTACACTTACTTACTCCTCCAATGAAAGGACAGTTCAAATGAATGACGAAAAGGCTTAAACTGTTGCAGGAATTACATTTTGTTTTAATGGTATAGCAAACAGAGGCACGCTACTCACCGCCAAACCTTCTGCTCAAACATTGCTGAAACATTCCATCCAGAACCAAATATATTGAAGGACTTTGAAAAGCAGTCATTATAGATCAATCCAGTGTATACAGAAAACAGACCCATTAATAAAATAACATATCGGCCTTCAAATAACATTTTCATTATCTGTAAGTATTAGAAAAAAAGACAAAAGAGAACATAATTTGCTACATGAACAATCATTACCTACACATTTCTAAGAGAAACAGATTTTTGGCCATACTAAGACATCTAAAAGCTAAAAATTCTTGTGAATAGTCATTAAGGAATATGACGAAACCTATGGCCAACCAAGACATAACAGAGCATTTTGCTTTAAACATGTAAATATGTGATTTACAAATGGTACTCACCAAATGGGTACAGTTCATCCCCCACATTCATAGCTTTATGTCAGGTGATTTATATGCAAAGGTTTATATGCATTAGAAAATAGAACTAGCAGCAAGAATTATATTCTGAAAGACGTTTGTAGTTTAAACTGAATGCAGAGATTTGAAGTCCCCATACAAGCTCCCATGACACAAACAGAGACTTTTCTCATTGGCATTTTTACACTAACGAATAGTCCTTTTAAACCACGTTTCCTTCCTGGGACTAGTTTTCAAGAAGTTAGTAATTTGCAGCCATTCTTAATTAAACATAATTCTAATGAGAGATGCACGGGTTCCCTGCATTCCAGCCCCGTATCATTAAAAAATGAGTTAAAGTTTAATGAATTTCAAACTACAAGTCATTTTCAGAAACAAAAACAGAAGATGGAATTAGAAAAATAATTTTCTCCTCATATTAGTCACTGTAACCACATTCTGTAAAACACACACATGACTAACGAGCCCTGGCAGAAGGAAAGACAAGCCCAACATCATCAACTAATTTTTGTCAGTCTCTCATTCCATCTTGGTTATTTCTGCTCTTTCAAAAATAGCGAGTGAATCCATTTGTTAAGATTAGCATATTAATCTTGAGCCACAGGGTAACCCTTAAACACAAAAAATCCCAAAACAAAGAAGAAAAAAAAAAACCTGTCTAATACATGCGCAATAAATAGCACTTTTCAGAAATATAGTAACTATTCAACTGAAGTTATCTTTCTGGATGGGGAGTAAATTATTTGTAATTCCTTTTACCTCATCTTGTGATCTTTGTAATCTAGGGTGTTTTTCATACAGTATTGCCAGGAGTGCAAATATGACCACTAGTAGCCCATGCCCAAAGTCTCCAAACATAACCGCAAACAAGAAGGGAAAAGTGATGATGTTATAGAGAGCTGAAACGACAACAGAACAGATTTCAGGCACACAGCACAATAGATGATGTGGATACCTAAGCAATCCAACTACTTTAACCTCTCAAACAATTTTCAGCTTTAAGTTTGAAAGACAGTTCACCCACTATTAATAGACCTTTCTCCCACACTGTAAATTTAACTCAGTTTAAAGCTTATTTATGTCTATCCCTTAGTAACGACAACTCCACAGTTGAGCATTAGCTAACAATTTTGAGTAGTATGAGACCAGTAAATTAAACCAAGCAAACTCTTCTTCCTCTGTGGCTATTTTGGCTCTGTACTATAACACACATTCTCCTATACACAGACAGACATAGACAGTTCAGCTGCAAAAGGACGTTAAACTAACTGGGCTATACAACAAACTGGATTTGTTCAAGGATGAGCTCTACGCTTCAATAAGATCAATAGCCATTACCAAAGTGGGGTTTTTTTCCCCCTAAATACCTTATCCAAGGTAAAGCATATAAAGAAATATTATACAGCTATTACCAGTGTAATATAATTGCTAAAATAACTCAGCAAAATCAAATCCCATCTTACTGCTTGGAGCACCATTTGTACTTTCCTTGTGCTACTGAAATTTTAAAACAGCTATTAATAAGCAGTATGGCTGTCATCATTTTTCCTTTACAAGTGTCCAATTCAGCAAGGTATTTAAACACATAAGAAGGCAAGCAGTAATGGTAGCACAGCTCACAGCTCAGATTTCAGAAGGACCAACCTGGATTAACTTCTCCATAGTTTCCAACTCCATAAGCATCAACGATGTTTTGGAACCCTGAGGTGAATTTATTGGTACGTATCAAAGTTGGAGGAGGTTGTGTTGTTGGGATGGTATTCATGAATGAAGAAACTGTAGCTCCACTCTTCCTCTAATTGCAGGCAGAAAGAAGATACATTTATATAAAAACTCAAACGATATTTAATCTAAACTAAATGAAAACATTTTCTCTATCAGCAGTTTCACTGATCCTGAAACATCCTGAAATTAAGCCAAGTTTAACATTTATCCATCCGTGCCTTCTTAAAAAGAAATAAATTAATCTGTTCCTCTAAAAACACTAATTATGTACAGTATTCTCATTCTTACTTTATACGAAATACCAAATGAGAAACGTCAGTCAATATTATATACCAAAAATTTAATAGTAAAAATTCCTTCTTGTAAAACAAAAAGATGGAGCTGCACTCAACACAACTAACATGAGGGAATTAGCACCTTCTACTTGACTTCAAGTAGCATTGCAAGCCAAGTCAGAGTTGGGTCCAACAGACGAGTTCTTATTCAAGAAAATAAAAACAAAAAGAAAACCCTCAAAAAATCAACACAGCACTAAATAAAGCCTAATAATAAAATTGTGTTACATGAGTTCATAGAGACCCAGACATGCCTGTGCCTACTTTTAGGCTATTATAAACAACTGTTTTCTTCCCTTATCTGTATACTTCGTTCAAGACAAAAGTTTTAACATCAGTGAGCATTCAGGTGACTTACTGAACCTTCCTCCAAGGCATGGCGCAAATTCTGCAGATCAGCCACCGGACACCAAACCTCAGCGATTAAACATTTATTTGTGACATCAAAACTGCACAGGTTGAGTACATGATAAATGGCTTTCATCTTCTTCACTTGGATAACCCACGTATAGATGGATTCAGATGCTTTACACAAGACTTGGCGTAAGTAATCCTCAGTTTTATGCAGCACCTTGACCAAGAAAAAAAATAAAAAAGATGAAAATGTGCCAACGGTTCTGTTAACCACAGTGAGAGCACCTGCTACTTCTCCACTGCAGGATCACTTTTGTAGGAGGCCACACCAACCACTGCTTAAAAAAGAAACCAATGTCAAGTGCCCCAAAGTTTAATAGGTACATGCAACACAAGACCAGGGATGCGATATACAGTCATGTTCGGATCCAAAGCTGTATGTATTTTAGAAACATATTTGTGTATTTAATGCTGTTATTCGTCAAACAATTTGGTGCAATAACTACAGCAAAGGGAATACTGTTATTTACTCACAAGGTGAAGATCCTGAATACGAAGGTTTAGTCCTTCAACAACTGTCCTGCGCTCCTCCAGGGTATTCGGATAGGGATAGACGTGACAGTGATAGCTACAGAAAAATAGAAGTTTGTGTTAAATAACCAAACTAAAATAAAACAAATCACCCAATCCCATGGCCTAGTCAAATCTGCAGCACACCATCTAATAACCATGGAAGAGATTCAACTGAGAGAGTCAGTATTTTGCCTGTAATTAACAAGGACTGCAGATAAAATGACTCATACATTTATTTGTATGTTGCATAACAATAAAGTTCAATGCAATGGCAGGAGGAGGAACAAATTTAACTTCAAAAAATTTGCCTAAAAATCAACACTTGCAAGGAAGGGGAGCAGGGGGAAAACCGGCAAGAAAATAACTCAGGTATAAAGAAATTTTATCTATATTAATTTTACTTCTTACCAGTCACAAATCTTCTTAACTTTCTGGCCAATTTGTTCACCCCAATAGGACACTAAAAAAACAAACCATTTCGTGGTTTCACCCTAAAAAAAAAAAAAGCTGAGTTTATTTTTGACCAACAAATCCACTGTGACAAAAATATAGAGCAAAATAACACATTTGAATCATTAGAAAAAGTTGTGTTAGTGCCATTAACCTTCCACTATTTTAGTGAGTTTGTTCACCCCAATAGGACACTAAAAAAACAAACCATTTCGTGGTTTCACCCTAAAAAAAAAAAAAGCTGAGTTTATTTTTGACCAACAAATCCACTGTGACAAAAATATAGAGCAAAATAACACATTTGAATCATTAGAAAAAGTTGTGTTAGTCCACTATTTTAGTGAAGATTAAAATATAAAATTCAAGTGTGCCAATCTCTCTCTTTTTTTCGGTAAATTAGAGGAAAAACAGATTTTTTTCTTCAGGGAAAATAAAAGAGATAGTATATTTTACCATCTCAGAATTACTAGTAACAAAAATTTCTTAAAAAATTAAAAATGTTACAAATTAGAATTGAAGCAAAATTTAAAAGTGACAGAGTAGGCAGCCACAATTGCTGATTTACAAAAAATGAATTTTGTAAGTTCAGAAAAAGCACCCATAGAAGACCAACTGTATTCCAGACATTTTTTTCCTTAAGGACTGAATGAACAAATAAATTTACTTTTAAGAGGTAATGCATTGTACAGACCTAGTTAATAAATATCCAAGCAGCCATTAATGCCACGTATTTTCATCAAGGTAGCCAATCATAAAGTCACTACTATAGCACAATAAAGTTCTGCACTCATCAAGCAGAACCATGATAAATTAATTGCTATGCCTATAGTTACAGTGGCATCAAGACCTCTAATGTTGAGGTCTTAGAAGTTCTAATACTTTTAAATAGTTTTCCCTCCAAGGGCACTGGGAAATCATTTACAGTCACTGCAGACCTGAGCAGTAATTCTTCCAAGTCTCAAGAAAAAGTACAGAATACAATAAACCAATAGTTACAATATTTACTCACTGTATCTGGATCTTCCAGACTCTCATCCAGCTCTGCATATGTAAGAATATGTAAACCTTTACAGACTCTCCACAGCATTTTTTCAAATGCTTCAACTTTTGCTACGTGAACTAACCCAGATATGAATCTATGGAAAAAGAAGAATTTGAAAAATAAGCTAAAATCCACAAGAAAAATTAAAAACTCAGAGTACATCATCACTAAGGATCACAGTCACAATAATTTAATATCTGCCATCTCTAGAGAAGGATGCATCACCCTAAACAGGAAGGAACTGGTATACAAAAGAGAGTCAATTTCTGTTTGGAAAACAAATAGATTGTAGGCCTGGAATAATATTTTATATAGTTCCCTTCCATGAAAATAAGGTTCTTAATTTTCACTTGGTAAGATACCCCTCTCATAATGGTGTTGCAGAGACCAGTATCCTTGTATCATTTTAAAGGCAATAATAATGTCACATTTACAACTGACACTGCCAACTGATTAAAAAATTATGTGTTTATCTTAAAAAAAAAATTTGAACAGTAGAAGAAAGTAGCGATTTAGAGCATTTAAAGATTTTTCTTAACACATATATTTGGTTTGATGGAAGTTCTGTGACAGTTTTTTTGTTGCTGTCCTACTTATCTCTTCAAATAATCCAATTTTGTTAGAAAGGTACATTTGGGCCAGATTCCCACCCTGTCTAAAACCATTTGGCTCATCCGAAATCACTACTCATGCTACATTCCAGCTTTTAAGAAAACAGCCCATTATTTACAGCAGCTCATGGAGCAGTTTTGAAACGGCACAAAGTGACAACCTGCCATCAGTGGACTGAACCACACCTACCCCAGCTTGGCGCCCAGTCTGTGCATACAGTTGTAATCCATTAATTGCTCATTTTCCACAGATGCAAATTCTTCATAATTTGCATGTAAACGGTTTTCATACTAGCAAATAAAAGAAAAATCATTTAAAGCTTTCAGAAAAAAAAAAATATTTTCATCCATAGAATCATAGAATTGTCTAGGTTGGAAGGTATCTTTAAGATCATCTACTCCAACCATCAATCTAACTTTGATAAAAACCATCACTAAACCACGTCTCTAAGCAGTACATCTACCCGTCTTTTAAATACCTCCAGGGATGGTGTCTCAACCACTTCCCTGGGCAGCCCATTCCAATGCTTAATAACCCTTTCAGTGTAAAAAATTTTCCTAATATCCAATCTGAACATACCCTGGCGCAACTTGAAGCCATAATTAATTTATTACTTTAAAAAGGAAAAGCTAATTACATAAATTGTTTCATTAAAAATATAGAATCACAGAATGGTTAGAGTTGGGAGGGACCGTAAAGATCATTGAGTTCCAACCTCCTGCCCTGGGCAGGGACACCTCCCACCACCAGACCAGGTTGCTCAAAGTCCCATTCTGCTTGGCCTTGAACCCCTCCAGGGATGGGGCAGCCACAGCTCCTCTGGGCAACCTGGGCCAGTGCCTCACCACCCTCATAGTGAAAAAAACTTTAAAAAACATATAAAAACTTTGCTGTGTTCAGTTCAGACAACAGAACAATCTCGGGATCTCAAGTGCACTGCTCTTAGCAATTACAGACACTGTTGCAAAGATCATACGGTAAGTTTCTTAGCACAGTTTATGCATCAAAATAACACAAATCCTCCGTCATTTTCAGCCGGCATCAGTAGTAACATCCAAACAAATCAACAGAGAAATCGCAAAGCTCCTCTAAGTTCAGGGCTGTGTTTTGCTATGGATATGAAGATACAGCACAAAAGGCTGCCAGCCAGGTTCTCTAGGCATTGAGCACGAATAATCACAAACAACCTACAGGGCTGTAAAGCCCAACAGCAAGTCATGCGCTTCACTACAACTACTAAGAGTATGCAATCAAAATGCTACATACTCCCCGTCAAACAACATAAATCAGTACCTCATTTGTTCTCCTGACAAATCTTTGCGTGACCTCTAACATGCACGTGTATTCTGTCAGTTCAAGCAGGTTTTTCCTCAACTTTTCTTTGTTTTTAGTCACTTCCCTCAATTCTGTCTCCAGCTTCTGCAACTGTTCCTAAGACATGGAGGAAAAAATGACATAGAATCAGTTATACTGCTTTGGAAATCAGGGGAGGATGAATTTTAAGCACATGTTAATTTGCTGCAATGACAGGACTTTCCCAATTTTTTAATTAACTTAAGCTCCATAGGTTTTATCCCTCAGCCTGCCAAAGATTGCTTTGTATTGAGTACACTTGATCCTCCACGGGCATCTGTTAAGTCTGCTGTTCTGACCCTAATCTGTGGCTGAGCAAAGTAACACAGATTTGGAATTCAAACTTCAGACAGTACAGGGTGCAAGACACTTATCTGTTCTGTTAAATAGAATTACAGCAAAACAGAATGTCATTCAAAATTGTATCTGCGTTGTACAAGCTTCTACTTCTAATGCAATACCAGAAAAAGCATTTAGAGAAAATAGCACCATGTTTTGCTCTGCAACCAGCACTGGATTCTGCAGAGCCTTGGGCATATGAAACTCCCACATACCCTGGAAATTCTGGATGCACAAAAAGAACCTTAGGTAAGTCAAAGACAGCAATTTGCCCGGAGCAGTTTAATATGCCAACCCATCAAAATAAAACAGGTGACTGCAAACCCCACGGGTTAGCTTTGACCTTTCACAGAAATTCCGTATTAATATCAAACCCTCACTGGCAGTCTTTGAAGTAACACTGGTAGAAAGAAAAAAAAAAAAAAATGGACAAAACCGAAAGCAAACGCTTCTGCCCTCCCTGCCACACCCCTATAATTTAAAGTCATAGGTCGTAAGATAGCAAGTAATTAAGTTTGAATTAAAGTTCCAAGATCCAGAGCTACACTTTTGGCATCTGTTGTGTGGAAAAGTTACCTGGATTTCTAACGTGTGTTTCAGCAAGGGGGCAGGAGGAGCAACATCACCTTCAGGGAGTGGAATATCCGCCTTTTTAATTTCTTGAACTAAATACCCTGGAGTGAGAAGAAAAACAGAATATAACGGAAAGGAAATGGCATTTCCTTATGCTTCCTAGAATGCTGCAGAGTTGACCTTCAGCTGTTACTGATGGTGCTGATCACAATGCAGTATCAGGCCCAAGCTATTTTATTCATCTATTTTAGCAACACCACACACACGTCTTCAAAAAAGAGTGGCTTATGGAGTGCTAGGAATAAATACACAGAACATTTCTGTCTTGGCAGTTTGCAGAAGTCAGCCATCTTCAGAGTCCTCTGACTGAAATTTTCCAACCACAAGTACTTTTTAAGCAGCTTTTAACATTTCATAGTATCTCTCTGCTGCTGCAAGATACCACTTTCTGCTAATCGTGCCATCTGCCAAGAACTGAAGTTCTGCACATCGATCGGCGTTTGGAATAAAAAGCATTCAAACAAGGTGGCTTAAGCAACCTTGACAACAAATACAACTCACACTGGGCAGGAAGGCTGCCAAAATAGCTACTGGGGATGGTTTGGCATGACCAGCACATGCCTCTGACGAGATTCCAATAAAAAGAATCCTTTAACAGTGACTTTTCCTCGGGATACAGTGAAGAAATCTGCATCTTGGCTGTAACGCTCTGCATATCCTTCTCTATTCATTAACCACCATGTGAATACAATTATTAATAACTTGAGATATTTTTGAGGGTGCTTGGAAGTTCAACAAGATTGAGTTATGTAAGATGAAAACCAGGGTTTATTTTACAGTCAAGGAAATATTCAGGGTAAAGCTTCCATTTTCCTTGCAGAGTTTTAAAAAGCCAATACTGAAATGATCTCAACTATTTATCAGCAACACATTAGCAACTCTCCCTCAACTCGGGGCTTAAAAAAAAAAAAACAACCTATATTTAGCACATACATGTTGCAGTCAAAGTAAATTTTAGAGCTCACAAAATGAAAAAACAGAGATCAGTGGTAAAACACTGGAAGAGGTTGCCCAGAAAGGCTGTGGAGTCTCCACAATTCAAAATCCCACCAGACACACAGCTGGACAACCTGCTCTAGCTGAAGGGTGACTAGGTGATCTCAAGAGGTCCCTTCCAACCTAAATGACTCTGTGATACACCCAAAACTGATGCAGCATGTCAAGACAAATTAAGAAACATATTTGTATGTTCTGACACAATTAAGTACTACAGTCAAGTCATCTCCAGCTCCAAAAATCCACATAAAGCCTACATATATGTATTTTTTCATATTCTGTAAGACCACAGTGTTCAGATCATACAAGACTGGGAAGATTAAAAAATCTGTAGCTGAAATCTCCACTGTAGTTCCACTCTAGCAATTTAAACTTCAACAATGCCACGGACAAGAAGGGGCAGACATGAAAACAAAGCTCACCAAGTATTCTTTCCATTTCTTCACACTTCTTTACTTCATTCACAAATTTTCTCTGAAATACACTTACATTTGGGTTAAGCTGAAGGAGAAGGACAAAATGCTTATTAAGTATTTAAAATAGCAATCATCCCCCCCCAAAAACACAGCTCTTTCTGTGACTACATGGGGACAATTTTGCATGTATTCTACGTGCTCTCTTTCTACAAAGTGATTTTTAGCTAAGATGATTGAAAACCTAGAAAGTCTTCAAACAGCAAGGTTGGTTTTATTAAAGCAGAATTATCAATGCCTTTTATTAGTTTTACTGAAATCACAAAATAACTAAATCTACTGGAAATACCGTTCCTAATCTTATGTCTGGAGTTTTAAAATACTGCTTAACAACTTCAAATTAACAAACAAATTCTTCTGCAAGCAAATTTTTGTGACGGATTGCCACAGAATCTGTTTGAAATATTAATTTTTGAAATAAACTTTTTACGTACATCCCCATATTATGAGTGTGCAATGTCTCTGACTACTTATTCAGCCTTTAAATCAGACCCACTAGCACATTATTTCTGGAATAAGTGGTGTGTCAAATACCTGGAATGGCATCAAAATGTTAAACATAACACCCATGTAGTGATTCTTACAGATTTGTCTCCTCCTACCTGCCATATTTACTAATTAGCTGTTAATTTAAATCCTGCCAGCTTTCATTTTGCAACCTATACTTCTGAAGAACACAGGAAGAAATTTTAAAGTCAGCACACGAAGATCATGTAATTACGATGAGGCAACGCAGAAACAAGGTTAATTATTACCCGGCCCAATTTTATGTCAGTCAGACACGTAGTTTCCTCCAAGGTTAGCTGCTCCTCCAGGAACAGACACGTTTTACAAAGCAAAAGCCTGTGGTGTTGAAAAAAATAAGCCTACGGAACAACTAAGATGTCTCTTTCTATCCATCTGTCAATGAGGTGGGTGTAATTATGAGCTATGCACATACACTCAGACTAAAGGCTGTGTGTCTTCAGGTTGGAAAAGGGCTCTCCCATGGGATCCTACTGCCAAAAAAACCTAAATTCAAACTGCTCTGTGAAAGATGTAGGATATAGTCACCCCAAAACAGCCCTCCCTCGCGTCTCGGAGAGGCTGGGGCTCCACACCGACTTCCCATGGCCCAACCTTTCTCTCTGGCAAAGGCGATCCAGAGATAGCCGTCTGTCTGCAGGTCAGAGCCGGGGAAAGAAGAGGGGCCCTCTTGGGAGTCTTCACATCACACCACCGGAACGAAGCCTGCACCTTCCCCACGGCAACCACCCCGCCCGCCTCCCCCTTCCC